ATTTCAGTGTCACAAAAGAGCATCCATAACTCACGATATGGGGAATGTGTTTGTTTTTTCAAATTTACACTTCATTTCACAACCAATGTGTGCTGCTTCTTGGTTATTTTTAGAACAGTGTGTAGCTTCTTGACATCTCTAGTCCAGTGTGTGACTATCAAGATTTACTACACATAAATTGTCAAACTTACTTTGCTTAAAGCTGCGAAGCTGTTAACGTAACTAAATGCGATGCCAGGCAACACCGGCACACTGCAGTGTTGCTTTGTTAAAAAACCTGTGCTGTGTGCACAGCTTGACATTCACCTGATAAATGAAAGTGATAGCGAAGACACGGTTGAGCGTCTGCTGATCCTGTGTAGGTGCTGAGCAGGAGAAACAAACAGGCTTTTCATTTTGATGTCTGAACCCAGTGTCACAAAGCTGTCAACATGTAAGTGCGTGCCAAATTTAGGCAGCGTTTCTGGCCTTATGTGCAGGTCCCCATGCCTCACAAATGAATTCGTGTCCATAGATCTAACCACGTTAGTTCTCTAAGACACTGTAAACGTCGCCTTGTACAGCTACCTCGGTGTTGCATCAACTAAAGTACACTTTTGAGGAACTGATTGGCTAAATGGCGCCTCTGTCAGTTCAGACTACACCAAGTCTATTTAATTAAATCCTGAAAAAAAGGGGTCACTCTGGTCACTAAATCTTCAAAGTTACAAGTGAAAAATGACAAAAAAAAATGAATTTATTGCTGTACTGAAGCAACACTTTAGAAACTTTAATGGCCCCTGTTGTCATACAAGGAAAATGTGATTTTACTTATGCTCATATTCTGTATGAGTGATCAATAGATATAATCTGCTAATGGGGTGAGTTTATGTCCAATGGCCTTATGTCTTCTGCAGAAATCTGCTCACTGAGGTACTTTTTGAGCCAATGTCCTTTTTATACTCATCCAATACTTGGCAACACACACTCATATGGCCTGATAGCCTGGCAGTGGCTAATGTGTGCAAATTGTCATTGGGAGTCTTTTTATATCAAGCACCAGTGCTCAGCACTTCTTTAGAAGGTGACTTCAGCATTTCTCTCCCTTCCATCTCATTTAGTGTGTAGATCCATTGTTGAATATACAGTATGGGTCTGTAAAGCAGGAAGTGCCCTTGTCTTAGGGTGTCCTTGAGATTGCAGTCCGGAGCCAGGTAGAATAAGCGAGCGAGAAAAATTTTGTAAAAACCATTCCGCTTTTTACCTGTTAATTTCACCCTTCAGGTTTGACTTTCATTTATTGCACGGAGCGGCTTAGCACTGTTTTCATGGCACCTAGGACATAATGTATTCACCCCAGCCTACACATTCAACAACAAATGCAAGCGCCCCAAACTTTTCCAGTTTCCCCCCCTGTCAGGATGCACTTGAGACCTTTTAAGTGGCACTGAAACAGCTCCTTACTGACAATCTCTGCAAGTCGAAAAAACTGCAAACCACTTGGTCTCTGCTTGACTAGTTATTTCAGTCTTTACCTCTAATGCCTTGTCAATAAACCACGTTCTTCAAAAATGTGCAACATGTGCGATTAAAGAGCAATTAATGTGATTTAATTTTGCTCTCTTAGCCTTATAAGGAGAACGCTGCAGCAGCTCTGTTGACATGAGTTGTTAATCTCAGCAGCAGCTTCCAATTGTGTTCAATTTCCCCTTCCTTTATTTATTATCACAATGGTAATTCACTTCACTATGAAATAAATGAGGGTAGAGCTAAGAGTTACAAGCGGCTTGAGAATATGAATGTAGTTGCGTTTGTTGTATCTAAAGTTTGGGATCTGTGCGAGGAAAGTTTTCAGATAGCTCACTGTCGATGTCGTGGCTTTGTGACCATTCTTGATGAGTGCGGGTTCACAGCTGTAAATTACATTTCTGGCCAAAGTAGGAATGCATGCACGAGGCCAGAACTATTTGTAACAAATCATTAATTTTGTCTGGACGCACACTGGCTGACTGCACTAAAAATATGGTTTAGTGAAATGTAACACTCATTTAGATAATATGGCTTTGGCAAAAGTGCACGTTGTTCACTTGACCCCACATTTTTTTTTCCCCTCACACAATTCTTCTGTGTGATACTGTAGTTAATCAGTAGGCTGAATCAGTCGTGCAGCTGTGATTCCTCATGATTTTGCAGAGGACACCATTTACAGTTTAAAATGAAATGTCCCCTGCCCCTCTTTTGCAGTCCTTAAAGCGGCAGCACGAGAACAGTTCTAACAACTTACAGGATAGCTAAATTATGATCTCTTGAGCACTTTGTTTTAGAATACATTGCATTCTCGTGAGCGTTGCATTTTAATTCGCATGGATTGTCACATCTAATTACTATATTCAACACGCATCCCTGCTCATAGGCTTGCCTCTGGCTATTGTGTTTGATCAGGTATACTTTGGACTCACTGTAGAATCAACTAATTGTCTGTTCGACCTTGAACAGGCTGGAGGGAACCTGGACAGGAGCTACCATGTACAATTAATTCATTTCCCCTCCCTCCGTGTCTTTCTCCATTTGAATGAGCAGTGCACTTTCTCACATTAAACTGCTCTTTTATTCCTTGATGGTTGTTAACCTAGAGCTTTTATTGGAGCTAAGTGATTGGGACCAAGTACTGTAGTACTGCACCTTTTTTGCAAAATCAATAGTTAAACATATGTGACCGTTCTTTACATTTATATGTTGATGTTTTACCAAACTCACGCAGAATTACCAGTTTATATTTAATGGAATGACAACTGAGATTTGTAACGCCTGTTTGCATCTTCTAAACACTTCAGACTGAGTCAGTGTTTAATTTGTAGACCTGTTTTTTCTAAGGTGATATATGCTGATGGAAAATGTTAATAGTTCTCGAAGACTATTAAATGAACATTAAAAAACAATAGACTGAACATCAATCATTTAGCCACCCTCCGTGGGTTATGAATCATGGCAAAAACAAGTTCCCAAGGGAAAAAGAATAATATTTGAATAATTTCTAAGTACTTTATCCAAAAATCAGCCCTGTTCTTTTTCTTGTATACTTTTCTAGTATTTACAATGTTAATTAAATAAGGCCACTGTGTGATGGAGGCGATTTGATTAAGTGCTTGCTGTTTTTACGAGCATCTGTACTGTGCCAACAACAAGCAGACACAATGCCAGATAACTGCAAAAGTTTAACAAGAGTAAAGCCACAGCATCTTTCATTACCTTAATGGAAGCTGGAAATGATAAAGATAACGTATACTCTCGGCAGCCACAAAATTAAAACTACTGACAGGTAAAGTGAATAACCCTACGATGTGGCTTTCTGCTGGGAATCCTCGTTTCCTGGCATTTAGCTGCTTGGTATGACACACAGCTTAACTTTAAACCAATTTCAGCATCACTCCCTGATGGCAGAGGCCTCCTGACATCAGAACAAGGTGCTCAAGGTTTTGACCCAGCCTCCAAACGCCCCAGATCCCAATCCACACACGCTTCGATGGGATATGCCAGAAAAGCCCAATTAACCCCCCACCCCCACCCAGAGAACCCAAAGGGTTTGGAGTCATTGTTCCAGTTCCAGAAACCAGATGCCTCCCATGTCTGTGCCCTGACAAGATGTCCTGTATATCTAAAAGCACATATTGGCAAAGAAAACAACTTCTTTTAAAAGGAGTGAGTGCACTCCATGGGCTTGGAAATGATCAAAACCCTTTAAAAAGCCTATAGTTCTCCATTTTCAAAGATGCAGCAATCTTTACCTTACACATCAGTTCAGTCGGGGACACAGAGTTGCATTGGAAAACTTTTGCAGCACAGTCTGAAATCACTCATTTGCAACACTGTGTGTTTCTGAGAAGATTTATCCATGGCGGTGGCTTCTCATGCCAGATACCCAAAAGCATTGTTGGAAGGCAGCCATAATTGTCGTTTGGCTGTGCTGCAGACTATGGCATCTCAAAGCTGTTTCTAGTCTGATGTCGCCTCATGAAAATTTAATGAAGAAATAGTTTCCAAAAAGGTGCCGTTTACGAAAGCAACAGAAGACACTAATTAGCGATATCGCAGCAGGGAAAGCAAAAACTTAAAGATGTACATAAACCTCATTGGCATTAACAGTAAGCAGGTCTTGTTTGGCAGGTTAAGACTTAGCCAACGTTGAAGAGTGGCAGATATTTTGCATATGGGGGATCTTGCGGTGTAGACAGTGTTTGAGTCTGCAGCCTCTCAGAGATCATCACTTGCTTCAAAGTGAAAATACTTCCTGTTGGAAGCTGTGAGCTTCAGACAAAACTGCTCTGGGCTTTGATTTTCTTTGTTTTGCTCAAAGAACATGGTTGGGGCAAAAGTGCAGCGTGAGTTATTTTCTATTTTCTCACTTCTCAAACGGCAGCAAGATGTTGCTCGCCCTTGTTCAATCAGAAAGTTGAGACGTGCGAGGGAACAAGACAGCTTTTACAACACGGCAAAGCCACCTTCCATCACTAAAGGACATCGAAGCTCTGCTGCACGTGTAGCCACTGAAGCCCCATCCTTTCCCCCAGGAAAAGAAAGAGTGGCATTTATATGCTGTGGATGGATTACATTATTATCGCTCTCATATCGATTACTTTCAGGAGTCGTTTAACTTAGCTTAAATTAGCTTAGCATAAAGACTCAAAACATATAATTGATTCCTATTTTTAATTTACCCCAAGCTACCTAAGCTACCTATTATAAAATTCTTTCCTTTTTTTTCATTTATTTCCGTAAGCCAAGGTTTATTTACAGTAGCTGCCTTGTTAACGTTTTACGCTAAGCTAACTAGCTGCTAGCTTTAGCTTATTGTATCGTATTTGTCATTCAAAAATGCTTCTATATATACAAGCTATTTCTTTAAATGCTAAAGATTTTTTCTTCTTTTATTTTCCAATTATCTCTTCCCCCTCCCTAGCACAAAGTTTGATGCTATGCTCAGTTCTGATATATGCCACAATGTCTGTATAACCTATTTGCAGAGGACCAGCTGCCCCCTGGTTTCCCCACCATAGACATGGGCCCACAGTTGAAAGTTGTGGAGCGAACACGCACTGCCACCATGCTCTGTGCTGCCAGCGGCAACCCAGACCCAGATATCTCTTGGTTCAAAGACTTCCTCCCTGTCAACACCAGCAACAACAATGGGCGCATTAAACAGCTCAGATCAGGTAGGTTTCCTGTGCTGAAAATCTAATTACCGGACAGGGAAGTCTTCTTTCTTGTTTTCTTCTATCTGATCTGCTCCCCCTATTGTATCCTCTGTTCTTTCATCCACTTCTTCCTCCCATAATTTAACTTCTCATTTGGCTTTTAATTTTGTAGGTAATGGCATTGTTTCTACTATTTCCTGTCCTCTACTTTCTGTACACCCTGGTGTGTTGTGTCCGTTTGTGTGTCTCCCTTTGTCTTCCAGTGTTGTCATGGGCTGTTGGGATTGTTCCCCCTCCCTCTGTGTTTGCTGGCTTCTGCCCCAACTTCTGCCCTCATTGCTCACTGCTGTGACTTTTTTACAATGAATTCTTTTGCTGTTTTCTGTTGATTTCCTTTCCACTGCATTGGTGCAGAATTTTTTAGAACCATTTTCTTCATGTTCTTATGTCTTTTCTTTTAACAATTAATATTCAACATTCGGCTTCATTCAGAATCTGCAACGGAGTGCGCATACTTTTAAAACAGGAAAACACGCTCCCTCCCCCAAAAAATCGAATGAATGTACTTTTGTCTAAATTTTACTTTCCAAAAGGTATCTTAAACTAATTTGGGTAGATATTTGCTGTTTTTAAGGCCTTTTACGTTTAAGAAATACATTTAATTTTGGAGACTATTCAGCCACAGTAGTGCGTAAAACTTCGTAAAGCTTTTCCCTCTCCCCCCAGCCCCTTGATTCATTGACTTTAGCAGTCCTTGCTTTAATGTTTAGATGCCAGCTTTGCTTTTTTTGCTTGTGACACACTCCAATATACTCATTATATATATATATATATTCAAGTTTGATTTTAATATCGCAATATAGAACTTATACATACATATAGCCTGCAACTTTATTTAGCAGCTAATATCAGCGCATTAACCTAACTACTTAAATTTTAAGTCTTGTGTGTTTGACCCCCTGTCTTCACAGATTTCACAGCTGTTCTTTGTTAAATCATCGTGTTAACCTTACCTCTTTGCCTACTTGTTTTCAACAGAACTGTGTAGCATTAATCCTTTTTGCTAACGTGCAACTCAGAGTTTATAAAGCATTAACGCAACCTTGTTAACTAAACTTACCTAAAGAATATAATCATATTCTTATGCTGTCTTTCTTCTCTCTATATTTTTAAATCTACAGAATCCTTTGGTAAGTGCTTAGCTCTAAAGCGCACATCACCTCCACTAATTTCCATGTTCCAACAACTATTAAAATGCATGGCATGCATTTTACTAACAGATAGTTTAGTCTCAGGGCTACTACTAGAGGCACATACACTCTCCCCTCACCCCACGGTGTCCTGTCACTACCAGCTGTAGCGTCACCCAATCTGGCGGTTATCCAAAGTTTAGCTTAGCATTGTCATATACTGACCTGGATAATGATCTGTCCTCACATGTTTGTAACTCACTTACTGACCCACCGCTTACTCACTTAATCTTTTAACACCAGCACATCTTAGGCATGGAAATTTAAAGAACCTTTAGAGAGGTGACCAGCTCTTCTTAGCTCAGGCCAAGCAAAGGGATCACACTTTTTTTTCTTTAAGTATCTCTGCTCTCAATCTTACACACCACAAAGTCCTGAAAGTCTTTCCCTTCAGTAGATGGTCTTCAGAAGCCATTGCCACTTCCAAAATGGCACCTCCCCGTGGTACACCAATGTGTCTCTCTGACCAGTGATTTTTCTATGATGAATCCTGTCTTTCTTTGCCAGTAGAGTACAGAAAAAAAAGTTCTTATTCTCTTTCTCTCTCCTTTCTCTTTTCCTGTAGTACCTTTATTTACGTACCCTGTTAAATCTAATTTGATTCTTCTTCCAAAGCCCCCAGCCTCTATCTACACGTACTAATGCTTCTTCTTTCTAATCTTATTTGCATTCATATTATCCACCCAGGTGGTACACCAATAAGAGGTAAGAGTGCTGAACTGACGTTCACAGAATGAAAATAATACAAATTCATTCTTGCTGTCAATCCATCCATTCACTTGAATCACCTCCATTTCTGTCCTGTTTACCAAGACTGAATCCCATTTCGTTCATATGGACCTTCCTTCTTATTTGTCCTGTTTCGTTGACTACGTTCGTATTTCATTTTTCTGTCTACGCTTTATTTACTCTTTGTGTTCTCGTTTTAAGAGCCCGTTTAGCTCAGTTGCGATATGCTTGCCCTGGCTCGAATAAGCATATCCAATGACAATTATTTTTTTGAACTCTATTTTTTTACGTTTCATTTTTGTTTTCTTTTTGGCCATAGCGAATCATGTGTCCCTCTTTTTGTCCAACTAAAACAACCAAGCATTTTTCCCCCTTAGCTGTTCTTGTTCAGCACTAAAAATATGCACAGATGCTGTGGAATCACGCAGGCATGCTGACGACAACATTGCCTCTCCTCTGCTTTTTTCTCCCAAAGAATTCTTTCTATCTTTGCAAACTATTTTTTTTCCATTTCTTCTATTTGCTTTCCTCTCCTGTACCTCTACAAAAAAGCCCAAACAACCACTTTTTTGATAAAGTTTCTACGGTGCTTTTTTTCTCTTTCACCTATTTTTCTTACTTTTCTTGGGTTTGGAGACTATTTTACTTTTTGACTTTTTTTCTTCAGGGTTTGGGAAGGCAAACAAGTAGAGTCTGGCGAGGACCCGATTGGCTCATTTTTGCCGTGTGACATGGAGCTGGAGAGTTGTTGATGCATAAAGCCATTTTTCCCTGGGTCATGTGACACCACACTGCTGATCCCATTGGTGGATTTTTATGGGTGTCTTTTGTAGCTTTCACAAGCTAAAGCAGTGGCTGGTTACATTCTTGTCGGCTCAGGCCGGTATTTTGAATTTTGTCTTCTAATACAATTGCATTTTATTTTTCAGCTAAGGGTTGTCAGAAGGTTGTAAGTTGTGTCGACATACATTTCTTCGCTAAGATTTGCATGTCAAAACTTTTGTTACAGAGGGTTATATGGTGCTTTTGCCTTGCATAATACGTTCAATTACATTTTTTCCAGATGTCTCAGCAGCATTTTTCAATTTTTTGGTACGAGCTGCATTTTTTTTGAAAAGTCACTTCACTTAAATGAAGTCCCAAATTATTCTGCAGGCAGAATAATACACCTGATTTGTGATTGAATATGCTAAAGTTCATACCTAAAATTCTTTTGTTCAATTGTCTTCCCTTGTTATGCTGCTTTCTTATACTGTAAACCTCTTTTGTTTGATCCATGTTTCCCTGAAGTAGTATCACTCATCCCCATATTGACCAGTCCAGTGATATGTTGTACATTGACGGGCTTGCCCCTATTTTTCAAAGTGACATTTTTTTTTCCATTGGCGTTAGGATGAGTGTCTTGTTAGAGCCTATAGGTAAAAAGCTTCTCTTTTTTTTTTTAAGAGATGATCAAGAGGGTAAATATATTAGCGACTGAGTTTGGTGTTATTTTTCTTTTTTTTTTCCCTTTGGATTTGGTTGACGATGTGTTTTTTTTCCTTTCTTTTCTCGTGTTGCTACTTTAGGCTTCTTGAAGGAAACTATTTGCATCGCAGTGTTTTGCCTCACTTACAGTGCGATTGCACAGTCTCGATTTCACCTCAGCCAGTGGATCAGGCTGTGACAATAAATGATCGAATATAATTTATATAGTTTATAAAAATTGTATTCATACATTTAATTGGATATCGATCAATTATAAGGTTCATTTCACTGATCTACTGATGCTTAGAAGGACAAAGAAATCTAGAAATGAAGGGTGCTGACGTTGACCTCCATGAGGTCAAACGAGCCCGTTGGTTTTTTGTTTGTTGTTTTTTTTTGTTTGGTTCTTTTTTTGCTTGTGAACTTGATGCTAACGACATAGCTTTAACCAAATATACTTTGCTACCCCGTTTGCTATTCCCAACCAGGAGCCCTCCAGATAGAGCAGAGCGAAGAGTCTGACCAGGGGAAGTATGAATGCGTGGCGACCAACAACGATGGAACCCGCTACTCTGCCCCAGCAAACCTATATGTCAGAGGTAGGAAGCGCGCGTTAAGCACCACCAGCATGCTTCTGTCAAACATTACATTAACTTTCTCTTTACGATTCAAGAGGAATTTTTAAATTAGCCAATAAAGTCTGCAGGGGCCACATCGTGTGACTCTTGTAAGTATGCTTGATTTGTTAAGTTCAGGTTTTGGTATTGGTTTGTTTTTTTTTTGGTTTTTGCACTTGACTTACCTGCACTGATTTGAACCTAAAGTGCTCTTTTACATGTTTCTGGCCCTTTTCTCTCTCGATTATCCTGAATCTAACACTGCTTGCTGTTTTTATCTACTAATTGCTTTTGAAACCTAACTGTTGGAGGCGGATGTCCTCCCTCCCCTCCATCAGCCCTGACTTTTTTTTTCCCAGCAGTAAACAGCTCCTTTTTCTACCCACTGGTCAACAATGGAAGGACACCTTTAATCCCATTACCTTTGCAGCTGACGATGAATATGTTAAAACACCAAATTCGAGAGTTTAAACTGGAATATAATATTTCATTATGTAACAGTTGTGAATTTTGTTATCCTGCAATAAAGATGAAATTAGCTGACAAAAGAAAACAGTCACAGCTGCACAGCCTCTGAAATATAAAGCTCATTGGTCTAACTCTTCTTACTTACTTCTTATTGCACTTAGTATGCAAAGCTTTTTTTCCTTCTATATACAAAACCCACTGTTTTTGCTCCAGTAATCTAGAAACTTTCCATGTTAGGACCTATATATATATATTTATGTATATATATACAGTATTATGGGTAGCATTCATTAATTATAGTTTCAAAGTATTTTTTTTTATAAGCTATGTAATCAACTTTCATTAATATTTACTATATTTGGAGCTAACCACATGACTTGAGCAGACGATATGTTTTTTTCTTCTTATTTAGGAGGATTGAAATTAGACAGGTTAAGACTTTGATTGGTAACATTGGTGCTCTTGGGTGCAAGCAGCTTCCTGCGCCCTCCAAACAGAAGGTCCTTCTAATTGTTCAAGTAGCATCTGAACACCTAAAACATGGCCTTTTTACTCTCTGTGTTTCCCTTGTTTTTCTCCTTTCCTTATTTCATTTTGTTCTGCATCAAATTCCCCACATCCCTCAGAGCTGCGAGAAGGTTGGTGTGTTTTTTACTTTTTGAACACAACAGAAACAAGTGTTTTTTGTTTGTTTTTTTAGCTACATTTTAGAGACGTTTAAAATAAAAAACTGATGTATTACTTTAGCCTTTTTTTTAAAACTTTTTTTGCTTCTTTGAATATTATTTTTCTCTGCTGTACGTTCAGTGTCCATGTTCCCATTGAGAATGCCTCTGGTCCTTGCTTGACTGTCCAATAGGTGGTGCATGTTTTGCATCTTGAGGTGGGGTTTTAGGAATGATATTTGCATCTGTCCGACGGTCTATTTGCATGGTCACCTGTTAATGTTTGGACTAGCCACCCCTTTCCCCCAGCTCCTACCCTGTCAGTGTTCCTGCTTGGTTTCTCTGATGACTAACAGCACAGCAGGGGAATAGGGTAAGGTGGTTAAAAACAAGAAAGAAAAGAACGGGGTTAAATGACAAACAGCATTAGGAAGATCACTGTCTTTCATTTATCAGTGAGAACTTAGAACTAAAACCACCTCCATTCACGTGGATGTCAAATGTTTCTCTGCATACAAGAGTTTAAGCCTTAGTCTACACAAAAACTTCCCTCTAACAGAAGTCTGTCACAGATAAAAGCATCTTTAAGCGAAATCCACCGTTTGTTGTAATTGGAATCAAAGGCAGGCATCAAGCTCTAAAAACAATCCTGCCCTTAGAGATGATCCACTTCCTCAGATGAGGATGTTTCTGCGCAGGAAGTCATGAAAGAATGATGTATTTAGAGCGTTATCCACAAGACTTGACAAATGTAATGATATTCAAATGAGCAGGATAATATTATGTCTGTGGGGAGCGTGATCCAATTGGATATTAATTAAATATTGAGTGAGAGAAACGTTGTATTTAATAATGCAAGCAGTTCCCCTAGATTTCCTGTCTGGAGAGCTGCCGCCTGTTCAACAGAATGGGCTCTGTGAATTAGTAGCAGGCAGCTGCAAGAGCACGTCTGAGTTCTAGTCAAATATAGCACAAGTAACTAGCTCAGACTCAGCGTAAGTGTAGCTGCAAATATTCCAATCTTTAGAAGTGATTTATTCCTTCATTTATTTCTTCCAGGTTTGCTAAATAATTTATTGAGTAATCTATTTTGAATTCCATGAGCAGTAACACTGACTTTACGTTTTATTTAAATCCTCGCTAGAAGTTGTACAACAGCACCTGGTAGTACCAGCCTCATTTCCTTTGTGCCTACGTCCCCTGGATAAACCTGAGTGCTAAGATGATGTTATCTTCTTTTGTGGCTCTCTGTTCTCCTTTAGCTTGTGCTAGCCGCAGTTAGAGCAGTGTGACAGTGTCAGGCTAACCTCTCCATTTACACCGAGTGACACGATGTCTTCCCTCTGACCCCGTTACTGCTTCTTTTGCCCCCGCAGCCCCCTTTCCCTAGACTCCCTCATGTGGTTGCCTCCTAAAGCCAACATTGTTCTTGTATGCATGATTGATTCTTGCTCTCCTCCAGAAGGCCTCGATACCATTCATGTGTTACCGGCGTCACACATTAACATTCATCTTTTATTGGAGCAAACCTGCACAATTAAGAGTAATTTAATCTAACAATATTTTTAAAAAAGAGTGGCCGTAAGAGTGAAATGTATCACATTTTTGCAGGAATAGCACATTACAGTGCATTATTGATGTGCTGCAAAACTAGTTTCGGAAGTTTCATTGTATTAGTGAAGAAAAAAAGTAACATTACATTGAGCATTTTAAGGGGATATTCCCTCCCAGATCCCAAGCAGATACAACGCCGATATTTGATGATTTAACCCTACAGTATATCGGCTGATACTTTTCTTTCAGACAGATTTCTGTAACATTTGCTTATGCCTAGTTATTTATCACTCCTTGTTAGTAGTTTTTATTTAATAAGCTTTTATTTTTTACAATAAGTCTTTAATCTGCTGATTGTTTGCAGACTTCCCTCTAGTGGACAAATTATGCAACATCATTATATATGCTGATACCGATATAAGAGCCAATAGCTGATATTGTCCGATAAGTTGGCTGCACCAATGCATTGTTCGAACCCTGCAGTTGCATCCGTCTTTAAGTGTGTTACCCTCCTTTTAGGATTGAATCCTTTCCTATAAATCCCTAACATGGCACATCATTTCACAGCTGTCAAACTGAATGACGTTTCTTAGCCCTTTCTGTCAAAATGTACTGAGAGGCGTATAGTCATACTGAAAACAGTTTGAATTAGCATCATAAATGATTTTGATTCGTTCCCAGGCATGGATTGAATTGTAGAATCACTAACTGTAATTATTCATGCTTTTAGCGGCAGTATAACTACTCCTCTTAATAAATTTCACATTTATCTGAGGTGTATAGCACAGATCCACAGTCTAAAGTCAGTTACCTTTTTAGCCATCTTTATAGCATTGTTAACAGTGCATTGTAGTGACCTTAAAAAACACGAGACACTTTTCCCGTTTGTCGCGCGTGAAGCCTTTAAGTGTATGACCTACATGTCCATGTGATGTGAGAATGTGATGCGGCACATTGTCTCACATCAGCTGGAAGTTTGCAGCCTGAAAGTTGTTTGTTTGCATACAACTGTGGAGTGCTGTCGACTCTCCAGCACTTTGTGCAGTTCTGTACATCCGTACTGATGGTGATGCAGTTTTTTGTGCATGGTGCTTGTGTTGTTGTTAATCCATTCGCCACTTAATCGAAGTCTCGGATCGCATGAGAACATTCATAAATGGAGAAATCTTAGAGAATTTGACACTATTAAACATTTAAGAGTCTGTTAATATTCTCATTAAAGAAATTTTTTCTTCTTTTTGGGGTGAATGCCGTTTTTCTGTAAAGGTTTCCCCTGATTCTGCCTGGTTTTCATGCTATTTTCTTGTCTTTTTTTAGTGCGACGGGTGCCACCGCGATTCTCCATTCCACCTACAGACAATGAGATCATGCCAGGCGGCAGTGTCAATATCACATGTGTAGCTGTGGGCTCCCCCATGCCATATGTCAAGTGGATGATGGGAGCTGAGGATCTTACGCCGGAAGACGATATGCCCATTGGACGTAACGTCTTGGAGCTTACGGACGTACGGCAATCGGCCAATTACACATGTGTAGCCATGTCAACCCTCGGGGTCATAGAGGCTGCGGCACAGATAACAGTGAAAGGTACATGTGCCTTTAATTCTTCTTCTAATACTGTAATCAAAGACTGTAATTTTCATAGAAATGCCAATGCTAGAGGCAAAGGTATTAATAGTTCAGTTCAAGTGCTTTTCTTAGAGTGTGTATTTACTTCAAAATACAGTATGCCTCCAGTTTGCAGCTAATATTTGTTAGTAATCTATCCGAGCAGCGACTACTGGCAGTGCTTTAAAGGAACTTATTTACCTCACACTGCCACGATAAGTCATCTGTAGAGGATTCCTTAAAGCTTTAGACAAGCCCTGGCACCAGCCTCGGTGCATTAGATGCCAGGCTGAGAATATAGTGAAGTGCTTATCTCTCAGCTGGAGAGCTACAGAGCCAAAAGCGCACCATTTCTGCGAGCAATTTGTAAGAAAGGAGGGGGCATGTTAGAGGGTGAAACATAGTGAGTATACTTTGGTGTAGACATGGTACTTATCTGTGCGTAATCATATCTACACTGCAGTGTGTCAGAAAGATACCCCCGATTGGTGCCGCCATGTTTACGAGCACACCGGGGACAGAGCCACGCACACAGACATTCAGCTTTGTTTTTCCAAGACATAACACAGAGATATTAGTCACAATATAACCCTCTGGCAGGAGCTCCCCCAAAAGCATACTTCAGATGGTGTATAAAGACAATCTATTGCCCTGATATCTTTTTGCCATGTGCCACGGTGTGGGGAATTAAAGTAATAAATTTACCTGTTTAATTATTAAAGTGATAAACACTGGGAAACCCAAGATTAACGACAACATCGCTCCGAAATGCTGAACGTGGAGTGTACAAGCCTTAAATCTCACTCATTAGATGATATGTCGCTTTTTTTCTTCTTCTTTTTTTTACACGACTGTAAACTAGGAAAACTAAAGTAATATTAAGACTATCCACCCACCTAATCGAATACACACAACACAGTCTCTTATGACTCCACATACACTGTGGCTCATCACTTTCGTGTGCAGCGGTCTGGTAAATGAAAGTTATCAATAAAAGTCAACTATCAACAAATTAAAATAAAGTCTCTACGGCATATAAAATAAATTCCTCTACCAATATGTGACTTTTGTGTGTTTTGCATTTTTATTAATATTCATTCCATAATTATCATCACAGCGTTGCCCAAGGCTCCTGGTATTCCTGTAGTGGAAGAGCGCACAGCCACAAGCATAACATTGGCTTGGGACTCTGGCAACCCTGAACCAATTTCCTACTACATCATCCAGCACAAGTCCAAGTACTCGGATGAGTTGTACAAAGAGATTGATGGCGTAGCCACCACTAGGTACAGCGTCGGGGGCCTCAGCCCCTACTCCGACTATGAGTTTCGGGTGGTGGCGGTAAACAACATCGGCCGAGGGCCACCCAGCGAGAGCATTGAGGCCAAAACTGCTGAGCAGGCACCCAGCACCGCACCGAGGCAGGTCCGAGGTCACATGATGAGCGCCACCACAGCGTTCATCCAGTGGGATGAGCCAGAGGAGGCCAACGGACAGATCACGGGCTACCGAGTCTACTACACCATGGATCCCAGCCAGCACCCCAACCACTGGGAGAAGCAGATTGTCCGGGGGTCTAATATTGCCACCATTCAGGGCCTCATCCCAAATAAGACCTACTATATCAAAATTTTAGCCTACACTTCAGTGGGTGATGGGCCTCTTTCTCCAGATCTTCAAATCATTGCAAAGACCGGAGGTGGGTTTGTTTTTAAATCATTAAGAAAAAAAAAAAACGCCAAAGTGACAATGAATGAAAATACAAAACCGGAAAAAGGCTGCTAAAAAGTATCGTTACTCTTAAGCCCGCAATGAAAATTTTGAGTGTGAAAAACATTTTTAGCCAGTAATCTTAAGTGAGAAGGAGCGATTCAAATGCCTCGTTGTTTATGTTTCACGAAAAAGTCCTGTGAAGACTATCGCAATAACTCAACCGCCAAGTGGCGTGTGTGTGCACGCGTGAGTGGATAGTGCAAGACACGAGAGTAATGAATTCATCTCTTCACTCTAATTTCAGTTCCGTCCCAACCAACCGACTTCAAAGGAGAAGCCAAATCAGAAACGAGCATTTTGCTGTCGTGGAACGCTCAGACGCAAAGTGGGCAAGAAAATCAAGTGACAGGATACGAGCTTTTATACAGAAAGAGAGATGACAAAGAGGAGGTAATTACTTTCTAATATTAAGGTATTTTGTCAACTCTTAAGAGTCCATAATGCTTCTTAACACATTAATAAGGTTCTAACCATTTTTGGGATTATTGTGTTTTATAATATTATTATTTGCCTACTTATCATGTTATTAGTCTGCATAGTTGATCTATCCTTACCAAGTAAATGCACGAATATGCAGTTGTTCCACTGTTAAACTTGAGGTAAATC